TCTGACAGTAGTACTATAATGCCATTTAATATCCATTCCCTGGACAGATTTATTAAAGTGTCTCAACAATGTCTTTTTACAGTTAGCTTTTGTTTCATTTTACAGTTGGTGTGCTCAAGTCTAGGTTCAGACAAGGGCCATAAATTTTTAATCTGTTGTAGTTTCTTCTCTTCCCGCTCCTGTCTTTTTGGTTTTTTCCTTCAGTGTCATTTATACTTTGGAGAAGCTTGGTCGTTTTTTTCAAGTGGAATTTCCATATTCTGGATTTGGCTGATTATATGTTCTCTGTCTCATATTTTCCATGAACTGGTTGTTAGACCTAAAGACTTATAAATGACTTAGCTGGTCATTTCCATTGGATCAGAAATCATATGAAATGTGGGTATCCAATATTTTTTGTCATGTTGAGATTGATTATAGTAAGCTCAGCTCTTAGTGTAATCTGTCCATAATGCTTCTCTGGCAACCTGCAGCCTAATAATTATAACAGCTGTTGCATCATGAAGACCTGCAAAATGGTAACTTTCTAAGTCTTTTATTCCTAACTTCTCCATTTGCTAGGTGAACTTTTTTCTACAAAGAACTTTGTCATATCCGTTATTTACTTCAAAACATAGGCAGTAGGAGAAAACATAGAAAAATGCTTGTTTACTAACTTACAGAATAATGGCAATGTCGAAAAGTGATCAGTGAGGCATTAGCTTTTTGTTTGTTTTTATTTTGCTTCCTTATGAACTCATTGGGTTTTTATGGTGAGTGTATTTTATTCTACTCAGTCATTATTGCCATTTACTTGATGTTATGGAGCATATTAGGGAGACAGAGTTGCATAATAAGTGACACTTCTTGTGCTCATCCCTAGCTATAACAGCAGTCTTAACCTTGGTCTAGTGTCATTTCATCATCAGTACCCCAGCCCTTTCCTCTGCCTCATTGGAGATTGATGTGAATCTCAGGCATGTTAGCTGTGTGACTGTAAAAGATGGAGGTCTCTTGGTATCAAATAGCCAATATTTAAATTTAAATTTGTCTAAAACATTTTTAAAATTTATTTGAATCAAAATTGAAGTTACCAGATATTTATATATGTGTGTGTGTACATTGTATTGACATATCCATGTGTATTCTTTAATCTACCCCACCCCTGTAGTTTATTTATTCAGGAGCCTAGCCTTTAGAGATATCCACATAATAGCTTTTGCTAATTTTGTTCCTTTCATGTAATTTAATGCATTCACTGTAAATATATTGATTTTTGGCCCCAAAATCAGAGTTGGACACTAAAAGGTAAAAAGACAGATTTCATTCAGTACTATTGTAATAATGATAAAGAGACTCAAGTATAGAACCACGTTCAATTTTGGAGTACAATAAAGTGCGATGTGTAGATGTCAAGCAAAATAAGGGTATCAGTCAATGGAAAAATTTATACTAAGAGGACACGTCTCTGGCAAGGGAAGTCTTGCCAAAAGATGACAAGGCAGTCATGTGTCAGGGGTTAGGCATGACAGGATTTCTTGCAGCTGGGCTTTGGAAACCAGTGACAGGGCCCCAAGAGAAAGACTATTGGAAAAGAACACTAGGAACAGCTTGTTTTTCTCAAGAGAGAATCTTTGTTGGGTTCATCCAGAATCTTGATCAGATTGAAGTCTGTTACTTTCTTGTTGGTGAAGGGCAGGACTGTGTCGTGGGTGGTCAAGTGTCTCACAAACCAGAAGGCATATACTGTAATGTCTTGTATTGAAGGTATTTTCAACTTAAATTACAGTACAGTTTTATTTCACTCATTGTTTTGGTACTGGGCATCGAACTTGGGACCTTGCGCTTGGGAGGCAGGCTGTAGCACTGAGCTAAATTCCTGGCCCTTTATTTCACATTTTTGACTTTGTATTGGCTATTAGTATCAATAGCAGAGAACAAATTTCGCTTTTGGGATGTTTTTCCTAATTTACGTAGATGTGCTTTTCACATCTAAAATAAATACTTATATGTATTTTATGTTCTCATATAATGTAACACGTAGAGGTACAGTGGTACCTCAGTTCACATACTTACTTCCACGGTTCTGGTCTCAAATCGAATTGGATGGGAACCGTAGCAGATTCAATGGCTAGGTTCATTGTTGACCTTATGGGGAAATTTTATTTGGCTTGTGACCACAGTTGTGGGATTAAGTTCGTGAGCCAAGGTCCCACTGTATTTAGCAGATAGCAGTACTCTCTAAAATCACAACAGGCAGAGGCAATTGCCATCAACTTTAGAAACATCCTTCTGGACCCCTTTCTGCACATGTATTCTGTAGGACTGGATGAAAACATGTGGAGACACCCATGCATTCATATACAAAATAAATTTCTGAAGAGGGACCACAGCGGACACTGTTACAGTTTGTTTTTCCATTTAGTGATATTTCAGGGAGATATTTTCTTGTCAGTGAATTTAGATATATATCATATCATTTGACATTATTAATAGGAGTTACCTTAACTTTTTTTTTCTTTACTTTCTCGGGTTAAACTGTCATGTTAATTGTTAAATTATAAGGAACAGGCATAACTTGCCAAGCAGCAGTCCTTTCCTGTGCTGTTGCAGTCACATAAATAGGTGCTCTTTTTTTCTTTGTAGTATGCATTGCCTCAGGAACAAAGGTGGCTTTGTTTAATCGACTTCGATCCCAGACAGTTAGTACCAGATACTTGCATGTAGAAGGAGGTAATTTCCATGCCAGTTCACAGCAGTGGGGAGCATTTTACATTCATCTCTGTGAGTATAGAAATGTGTTAATACATTGTTAAACTCTTAAAATTATTTTTCATAATGTGATATATGGATATGTTAAGTTTATCATTTTCCTTGGCAGTGATAAATTCTAAAGATGATATCTTGATCTCTTTTTCTACCCAATATAGTGGATGATGATGAATCAGAAGGAGAAGAATTCACAGTTCGAGATGGTTACATCCATTATGGACAAACAGTCAAACTTGTGTGTTCAGTTACTGGCATGGCACTCCCGAGATTGGTAAGGCCCTGCTTCTGCTCAAGTGATGTGTGAAGTAACAATTCTTAAAACAGAAAAATCGTAACAGTCAGAGGCAGAGATTATAGGGAACAGAGGAAGGGGACGCTGCTAGAACCTCTGCAGTAAGTTCTAGTCTCCTGCGAGCCACGGCAGCACAAGGCGAGTTACAGGAAAGGTAGAAAAATGAGACTGAGAAGAAGCTGAGCTTTGGGTCTGATCAGTGCTACTCTGGGCGGCAAAGAAGAAAGCCCCCAGCTTACCGCACCTTTTATTCAGTACTCAGTACATTGGGAGAAACAAATGACTTGCAGAGAGTTCAGTACATCTGGCGTAAACAACATGTAACAATCCAAGAACAAGGAGGAACTAAGTAGATGTTTGTTCCTCCCAGGATGTTTTCAGCTCCCAGGATGTTTCTTGTCCTGGAGAATCACAGACAGCATCACCGGATCATTAAGGTCTCAGTTGTGACTCGAGGCCAAAATGCAGTTATGTCTCGGAGTTCCATAGCTGGGCTGTAGGCAGGAGAACTAGGCTAACCAAATGATTTTTCCCTAAAATTATGTAGCATTGCTCCCGACAAGAGATATACCTCCATTTTATGCTTTTTAACTTAGAAAGATAATATCCATAATCTACTACTTAAAATTAGTAATTGCACCCTGCCTAATTTCAGAAATGCCTTAAGACAGCAAATTGAGGACTAGCCTGGACTGCATAGCTAGACCCTGTCTCAAAAAAACCAATCGATTTTTTTTTTTTTTTTTTTTTTAAATTTTGAGAGAAAGGCATAGGATTTAGGACTTTTTGTTCACTAGATCTTGGACCTGTAAAAATGCTTTTCTTAGTAAAATGCAAACAAAAACTGCCTTTTCTGAAACAATGCAATTTAGTTGTATGCTAAAGGCAACCAGGATTTATGAATAATCTTGATTCAAGGTCAGGTTGAGGGTATTGGGCAAGTGGAAGAGCATTTAGTCAGACTGTTCCTTAATAAGGTTTCTATTTCTCTCTTTGGTGAAATATTGCATTGCCTTATATTTTCGGGTTATTTCAGCAGAGGTGGGGTTGGTCTACAGTTACCTAAGTAAATACGTCAATTGTTTATTTTTTGTTTTATTTTTCTGTGTCATAATTGTACACGATTTATATCACATTTCAATTTAATAAGCTAAAATATGTCAAGTATAGTAGAATTTATCTGTAAAACTTTGAAGCTGGAACAAATTATTTAAAAAAGTGTAGGGAAGGATGTATGTAAAGAGAAGCAAACATGAATCAACATTTACTTAGTTCTCTTCTCATTCACCATGTGTCACCCTATCCCAAGGACATTTGTTTGTGTTTCTTGTTCTACTGAAGTACAAACTCAGGTTTGTAGTACAAACTTATTATGCCTCTGATCCACAACAGCTTGATGCAGACCATTTAAAAGCAATAAATAACAGATACAATCTCAAAATATCTTTTTCACTTACAGTTTTATGCATAGTACAAGTAGTCTGCCTTGCTTGAACTATGTGTGTGCTTCTGATTTTAATAAGTTACAATAAAAATTAGTATATTGGAAAAAGTTGCAATACCTTTGTTAATATTCTGATATATTTTTCTAGAAATTCCATGACTGGGGAATTCTAATTCGTTTCCTTGAAATCATGGATAGACTTTAGCTAACTGTACCACTTCCTACACATCTTGGCCTCTACTTAGACATGCAGTTTCCAAGAACTGTAGCATTCTTTCACATGCTTTTTTTTTTTTTAAAGATAGTATCTTGTTTATATAATCCAGGCTGACCTTGAATTTGGCAGTCCTCCTGCCTCAGCCTTCTAAATGCTGGGATTACAGGCATGCACCACCACACCAGCTAGTTCTCTTCATCTCAAGCTTTAAAAGAAAAAAAAAAGATCATCCTACTTTATTATCTGGAAATTGCTTTTAATCCTCACTAGAATGGCAATTTTATTAGAGAGCTTTGCTTGGAAAATATTACCCTCCCTGACCAAATTTTACTGGGATCAATTCAGTGACTTTGTGAAAATCCTGTTTTTAATGGATGCTCTCAAAATAGTTTATGTAAATGTAGCCAACTAACAAGAAACCCCTTATCCATTTACCACACATACTCATCAAGGCTGTCAGATGCTCCAGGGGTGGGAGCAGCTAAGATATGTTCTGTCACCGTTTACAGCTGCTCTCCTAAGTCACCACCAATGCAATGAAATTACACTAATAACCACTATCCATTATCAGCCTATTTGGTTGAACAACCCAATAAGTTAAACTCAAGTAATGTTTGCTTGGCAGATAGTGTTAGGAATATGAATAAAATATTTGCTGTCCTTAGGGGGTGTATCCACTTACCCTCTACAAAATGCTGTATATACACCATATATCAAAGCAAAGTTTGGTTGCCGTCTTTGGTAGCCTTTGTTTCTTTATTGGTGAGAGCAAGTCATTCATCATTGTCTCTGCCCAAAGAACTGTTTGGGGGAACAAAAATACTAGCCAGCTGGGGCCAATGTTGCTAAGTTGGTGAGGAAACAGTGGGGCACACAGATAGAGTTCTGAGACAAACAGTGGGGAGAGGTGTGATTGAGTGCCCTGAGATGTGGGGGAAGCTTCAGACTCAGGTCTTTAACAGAAAAGTCAGTTATTTTTCTCAAATCCAAACTTCATTGAATTTAAAAATAACTTTTTGGGCCAGGGATTTAGCTCAGTGGTTTCGCCACCTGCTGTGCAAGCGCAAGGACCCTTTGATCCCCGGTACCAAAAAAATTTTTTTAAAAAACAAATAAATAAAAGTAACTTTTAAGACTTCAGTATTCAATTGAAATGTTTTGCTTCAATTTAATTAGTTTCACAAGCTATCCTAATTGCTAAAGTTATAAGGTGTCCCTTTTAATTTAAAAATTGGTATTGGTAAGATCACAAATATTTTGACTAAAAAAGTTGTGCAGACCTAAAAATGAGTAAATATGAACCACATTAACTTTAAAGATTGGGGCTTTAAACAGTGGCTTAGGTGCAACAAGATGATCTTTGCATATAAGTGGGACATAAATCCAGTAATGAGAACTAGTAGTACTGTGTAATGTTAGTGACACCGCTGTGACTGAGCAGTTTTACATGCATAGACTCATTTGGTCCTCACAAAACTCCATGAGCAGTCGCAGTTAGGGTTCCAGAGCAGAGCATTTACATCATGGGGCTTCGGTGGATTTGTGCATTCTCCACATAGTGTCAAGCACCTTCTGTGCAGCGGGCACAGGTCAAGCCGGTCCCCTCCCCCAGGGGAGGGTGTCTGTTAAATACTGCTGAGAAAGTGAAGTAAGATGGGGTGGAGAGATGCCATGTGTGATTCACTTGTCTGGAAGTCATTGGTAACCTTTTGTGCAGTTCAACAAGTCCTTTCAACAGAGGCTGGAGAGACCACAGTGATGGGGCAGTAACAGGCCTGTTCTCTCGGAGCAGAGAAACAAGATCAGTGAGAGGGGGACAGGGCCCATCAGCACCTGTATTTTTAACAAGAATTCCAGGTGATTTATATGTGCACTAATGTTTGAAAAGTGCTGGTTTAGAAAACAAGTGCCGTTTTTATTTATATTTTTGGTACCGGGGATTGAACTCAGGTCCTTGCGCTTGCGCAGCAAGTGGCAAAACCACTGAGCTAAATCCCTGGCCCACAAGTGCCGTTTTTTAAAAAGAAGTTTGTGGAAGAGGGTGAAAGCTGTCCCATTCTGTTATACTTACAAACTAAGTTTTTAATCTTCTGTAAATCTCTCTCTACTTAGGTATAATACAGATAACTGGCATATTATTATATAGCATATACTTGCTGTGTATTCTTGACAGTGTACAAAATAAAAACTTCATATGTGGATGACTGTTTTGTTTTAATTTTTGAATTGTTGAAATACAGATAATTAGGAAAGTTGATAAGCAGACAGCATTATTGGATGCAGACGATCCTGTGTCACAACTACATAAATGTGCATTTTACCTTAAGGATACAGAAAGAATGTACTTGTGCCTTTCTCAAGAAAGAATAATCCAATTTCAGGTAGGTTTTACAATTATCGGTAAAATTTATCCACGCTAGGGCTAGGGTTGTAGCTCAGTGGTAAAGGCCCTTGGATCATTCTCCAGCACCATGAGTGAGTGAATACTGCAACCTGTGAATTATAAAAACATGAGATTCTCATTTGCAGCCAATTGTGTCCAAATGTATGAGGCTGTATTCTGATATTTATGTCAAGTTTAAGGCTCCTTAACACACACAGGCCTTGGACATTTTGGTGATTCTACCTCAGGGAGGAACTGAAAACCACAAAAATGTTCTCAGAGAAACAGTTAACATTCATTTCCAGGGTTCTTAATCTGGGGAATAGAGGCTCCCCAGAATATCCAAAACTAGAACTTCACTGAATCTTCTGCATTTATGTGCATGCACGGTATTGAAAAAACATTTTACTGGGAAGAGAGGGCTCACATGCTCCCCAACTTGTGTTTCCTGAGATGATAATGATATGATTGAGAAGCTAAATTTTAACTGTTTAATTTAGAAGGCTTTTACATTATGACATGGGCATATGATTTGATAGGACAGTTACAGTTTCACAGAAAACTCCTTTGTAAAGTCCCATTCCTGAGAAATGGTCTCATGCACACACTGATAGCCATGCTAGATCCTTGGTGCAGGTTTATTACAGCAGGGCTAAGAGCTTGCCAGTTCAGACCTTCATTCTTCCTGCTTAAGGCACGTTAGCATCTGGCTGCTCTAAACATTCAGGGCTCCTATGATTTTTCTTAAGGAGCCCTGAGCTTTTAACATTCATTTTAAATTTCAGATACTGATGTTCTATTAATGAAATTATACCAGTAATGGTGTGCTATTAGTGGTTAATATATCACTGGAATATTTTATATTATAACAAAAAATGCCATCTGTGGGGTTTCCATATTAATATTCTGCTCACATTTACTTAAGGATTGGCAAAGCAGCATGCTTTAGGAAGTTTACAAGTTTTTTACGAAATTCTCTTGTTAACTCTGATGTTATTTGGTAAGTTCTCTTACACTGTGTGTATAAAACCCAGTTTCTGAACATGTTTTTCTTCATAAGGCCACTCCATGCCCGAAGGAACCAAATAAAGAGATGATAAATGATGGAGCTTCGTGGACAATCATTAGCACAGATAAGGCAGAGTATACATTTTACGAAGGAATGGGCCCTGTCCTTGCCCCAGTCACTCCTGTGCCTGTCGTAGAAAGTCTTCAGGTGAGGACACTTAGTTACAAGGCGGCTTTTTGCTTGTGCAAATGCTGTCACCTATGACTTGGTGTAATTTCATTTCACAGTAATTTGGATGTTTTTCTTTAAATGTTGTGATCTGGGGATTTTGTTACGCATTATTTGTTGAAAAAAATGAAAATGGAAGCAATGTTCTTTACATATGAGAAAATTAAGTCAGTTTATATGTTATCTTAAAGTATTTTTAGCTAGCTTTGTAATCATGCCATTTGAAAGAAACATTTTACAAATGTAAACTTTTACAGACTGTCACAAATGAAAATTGAACGAGAACCTAATTTTTGTACTTCCCTGAAAAGTGTCTCACTCAATGTGATTTTCTGTTAATTGCAGTTGAATGGCGGCGGGGATGTAGCAATGCTTGAACTTACAGGACAGAATTTCACTCCAAATTTACGAGTATGGTTTGGGGATGTAGAAGCTGAAACTATGTACAGGTATTGGATAAAACTTTTTACATCATCTGAGGCTTGTGAGAGGCTTGTGGGTAAATGAGATTGTTTCCTGACCTTCACTGTTAGGCATTTAACAATGTCTCATTTCTGGAATGCACTTCACATGTCAAAATGCTTTTTTAAATGCTTTATGTTTCCCCCTCAGATGTGGAGAGAGCATGCTCTGTGTCGTCCCAGACATTTCTGCATTCCGAGAAGGTTGGAGGTGGGTCCGGCAGCCAGTCCAGGTTCCAGTAACTTTGGTCCGCAATGATGGGATCATTTATTCCACCAGCCTTACCTTTACCTACACACCAGAGCCAGGGCCGAGGCCGCACTGCAGTGCTGCAGGAGCCATCCTTCGAGCCAGCTCAAGCCAAGTGCCCACCAACGAGTCAAACACAAACAGCGAGGGGAGTTACACAAACGCCAGCACAAATTCAACCAGCGTTACATCATCTACGGCAACTGTGGTGTCCTAACCACCGTCTTTTTGCTAGGACTTAAACTGACCTGAGTGCAGCAAAAAGTTGTCAAAAAAAGGAGAGAAAAAAATGAACAATCTTTTGTGGTTTCTTGGAAAAACTTCTTCATACCAAGTGATACTATTCAAAAACCCCATTACCTGCAAGTGCTGATTTGAGATACAGAAGCCACAGTAAAACAAAACAAAACCCATCAAAATGTACAAACTATTGGAGATTGAGGTTTTCAGCTGTTTTTTTGTTATTGTTTGGTTGGTTTTTCTTTGGTTTTGTTTAAATGAGCAAAAAATAGATACATGGCTGGTATAAAAGTTAAGCAAACTAGAAGACACAAATTAACATAGTTTTTATGGACCAAGGAACTTATATAAGCTTTATTAGTAAAAGGTACATTTTCACCATACCTTTTTTTATATCACAGTATATAGTACATCTTGTTACCAAATAGGTTGTTCTCCCCGCCCTCTTTGAGCTTTTGCTCTGAAGTACATTCAGGTTCCAAGCTTGACCATGCTTGTTTAATAAATTACCGTATCCTTCCAGGTTCTTTTGGTCTAAGGCTGGAACTTTTTTTAAAAGCTGAAGTCTTATGACTTTTCTTGAGTTAAAATTGTTCTGATTTCAGCAAGTCAAATCTTGTAAAGGCCTGCATATGTTTTTTAAGATTATATGAAGTCTGTGCAAAAGCTTTAAAGACAATGCCTCTGCCTTGCCTGCAATACATGCAATGTACGTTAACTTAGTCTCCTTCTTTAGTCACTGTTGGCAGTTATTTGTGTTTTCCTTTTAAAAAAAAAAAAAAAATGTATTTATAGTGGTAATCCAAGAAATTGTAACATTCAAATGGAATTCAGTGTGGCCATGTAGTCATTAATGAGTTAATGGCACAGATATGTTGGTATTTGAAGTGTCCTCTCCCCTTTCCCATACATAAGACATTTGTGTGTTCCAGGATTACTTCAGTTTTCCCTTCCTCCTAATGTTGTACATAACTTGTATTATGTGTAAGTTAAACTTTGGTGTTTTTCTTTGTTTTTGTTAACTTGGAATGCTCCAGTGATTTCATTCAGCAAGGTGTCTTCTGCCTTGTTGGCAAATGTTAAAAAAATATCATGAGAAGTATTTGCTACAAAGTGGTAGATGGTGCCCTTCCAGTAGAATGAGGAAAATCTCAGCAAAATATGTTGTATTATTGTTACTTGTTGTTTTTGTTTTGGTTTTTTGCCTAGGCCAGAACATCATTGTAATCTTAAAACATAAAATGCTTTTATTAGGTAGGTGGTCAAGTAGAATAGCTGGAAGACAGTACCTTAGGGAGAGATGGTTGGAAGTTTATAAAAATGGAAATGTAACTTACATTTCCATTTTTCTTCTGGCTCTTTTGTTCTCTCTTCCCCAGTACTGAGTATCTCCACAAATGTCCCCCACTTAGGAAGTGTGTGTTCGTTCTCCTTTCAGTTAAGATTTGGTTACATTCAGGGCTGTGCACAGCCTTGTGTGCTCGTCTTGCCAGTTTTGCTTCCATTCCCACACTGTGATTATTATGCCTTTGTTCAGTTTCTTAGAAATTGCAGCAAACTCATTGAGCAACATTAGTATAGGAACCGTGTGTGTAACATTACAGGACACAGTTCAGTGATACAATCATCCTTCTTAGAGTAAAAACTACCTCTAGATTGTGGTAAGCTTTTACTGTCCCATAAAACAGGAGCCACAAGTACCTTAAGAATGCAAAACTGTAACTTCTCCAGTGTTCCCAGTGTCTTACTGGTGTCCTGGGCTGTTTTGAGTTTCCTTTAATAGACTTTAAAAATCATTTATTAGAGGCATTTTTTTTCAGCTTTGCTATGTTCATCACTCACTCCTTCATTTAAACTATGCCATTGTAAATACTTTTCCTCATATCTTTAAATTGCCTTTTCCTCAATTTTCAAGGGGAAAGTCATTTGTAAAACACATGAGGTGGTTAAATCAAAGTTACTGCAGTTTTCTCCTACTGCAAGCCTTTTTAATCACCCAGGCTGCATTGTACTATAAATAGCCTTTTCTCTTCAAATCTGCTCCGGTTACTCCTCGGGGTAATCTCATCCTGCCTCATACCTTAAATCGGTTTCAGTGATCAGGGCAGAATGCATTGTGGCCTTATATTTCTTTGTGGTAACTGCTCACTGGCTGTTACTTGCAGACTTGCTTATTTGAGTAGTATTTATTCTCTGTTGAGTCCCAGAAGTAGTCATTACACAGTGCTTTTTGTTTAGTGTGAAGACTTTCTCAGTGCTGCTTGATTTTTTTTTTTAAAGTGGGCCACAAGTTACCTACATTTCTTGATTTGGTATTTAGTTAAGAAAGCATATTAAATTAACCATTAACAAATGAGATGCTTTTTGAAGAACAAACTATTCCTTTTTCAGCTTACAGGTCAAAATAAGTTTTCAAGTTCGTGGCTTTATTAAAATGAACTTCTGTGCTTTTAAGTGTTTATATCATTTTAGTTTTTGTGTTTCTTCTAATAAGATAATTGAAATGTTAGCCTGTAAACCCTTTTCCTGTTTTCTTTTTTTTGAAAATCCAGGAATGTACCAATATTGGCAGTTCCCCCGTCTATCTTATGCCACTCTCATACCACAGACCGAAGAGTGAGGTGATATCTATTGTAGCTTATTATTCATCAGTAGTTATTTTTGTCAGCTGCTTTGAAAAAAGTCTTCTTCATGGTTTTGAGAATCGTTTTATCTGAGAGTCTTGCCCTCCTCTTATGGTAGAGTATATTCCTCCACTGATGATGGCATTATTAGATATGTTGGCCATTTACCCTTACAGAGATTCTGTGGAAAGGAGAATGATTATTTACAGTATATTTGATTTTTAAATTCTGTTTTAGAAGTATATCTTCTTTTCTCATGATTCTGTACAATTTCTCAAGATAGGCATAGAAGCTGAGCTTGTGACTCAACATGTTTTTACAAGTTTCATTGCATTTGTCACATAGATTGGGAAGGCAAGCTAAAGATGCTAAAATAGAATGCTCTTTGTAGTTTGAATGATTTCAGAGTTGAACACTAGTACAGTATTTAACTTGCTGCTGACTTTCTTAAACTGTGGCCACTAAAGGCATCCTCATCTAGAGTTAACTATTGAAATACTTGTCAACTCTTACTGCACAGACTCATTTTCCATCATAGCTGTTAAGTTCTTTTGCCTTTGTTTTTGATGAAACTGGTACCATCTGTGCACTCACAGAAAATTCTGATGCCATCTTTGAGAACTAAGCTAACTAGCCAAGTTAACCAGAAAACCCACTGGAGGAGGGGTTCCTTTTTGAAACAAAATGCTATTCAGTTACTAACCAAGTACTTTGATTTCAAAAGCAGCTGTGTTTCTGATGAGTACTGAACAAATGTGTGTAACTTTCTGTGCCAGACTTTTGACCTTGTTTTCAAGCACTGTAATGTGGGATGGATGGTTAGAAACAATAATATATTAGGGTTTCTATTTAACCCTTTACGGACTGAACTGTATCTCCTTTCATTAATTTTTCCCTGTGTCGTGATAAATGTTTGCCAGCATTCAGTACTGTGTTGGTCCAGATGTAGTTATATATGCTCATTTTTAGTTATCTCTCGTACCTTGCAGCATGCGCTACACATTCAGTCCTTAAGGGGTTTATTTTACAAACTGTGCGCCTGTAAGGTTTATTAGCAATAAGTTAGAAAATCGAGCAAGTTTATACCATAATTTTGTAGAAAAAAAGAATCTGCTCAGTTCCATATTTCACCCATGAAAAACCTGCAATACGGGCAGTTTCAAGGAATAAATAAAAAAGAAATGTAAACCATTGTAAAAGTCTTCTGTTGAATGTGCCTGATGCATGTATTACCTACCGTCCTTGATTTCAGAGTACTTCATAAAGATAAAATTAAATTCTATACCACAGTTTGTGTATTTACCTTGCACTCCTCATCACATCAAAGTGATAAATCGCTAAATTAATTTCCTTTTCAATGTTTTAACTAGTACTTTAAGCAGAGACAATTTTTATGGTGAAATGGGCTTTGTCACTCAAAGGGCATCTCCCAGTAGGATCTTTTAAAGCTGATCACAACAAAATGGGGATGTATTACGTAGCGATCACTTGCTTTTCCGATGCAGAGCTGTCATTTGGTCCAGTCTCCCAAAGAACACATAATGGTTTTTGACTTTGTAGGTGTGTGTGGATTGCTGCCAGAAACTGGGGACAGACTATTTTTTAATATCAAGGCAGAAATTTAAAGGTGGAAAATACATAATTTTTAAATCACAGTTTATTTCTTATCTGCCCAACCATAGAATGAATATAAGGAAAATTCAGAGGATTTTGCTAAAAGCATCTTTTTTTTTTTTGTATGTCCTTTTATTGGTACATTTTAGGTGTACAACATAATGACATTCATTATTGGAGATATGCACCTTTACATACTCTCTTGTTTCTTATTTTTCCCCCTTCCCCTACCCTCCCTTCAACCCCTCCATCCCTCCCTATTTACAAAGACTTTGTTTCCATTTTCCATTTTCTCATATTAATTCCATTCCCTTCTTTCCTTTTCCCTACCCCTCCCACTTCCCCT